CATTTGATACTTAATTCCCTACATTCATTACTTTTCAGCAGATAATCGGATTGATCACATTGATCACTACTTAATCCAGGATATATCTTTGGCTAGTTAAAAATTCTTAAGTAAAAAGATTCACAAAAAAAGTATTATATATGTCATCACATTATTAAATGTTTTTTAATATATAATTTTGGGTTATATTGCAAATATTTAGATTATCTTAAAGAAGGTAACCATAAACACCAAAAAAAAGCAGCACTTTCACATTAATTAATTTTGTTTCTTGAAAATATTGGTCGCTTTCTAGAAATTGTAATTTAATTGTAATTTAAAACCATAAATTAATTTAGGTTGTTCTTATCATAATAAAATCATATAGAACTTTTTTCCCGGCTCAGCTTTCTCCTTAGTAAACTTAATGCGCAATACATTTGCTACTTTATCTCTCCGTTCCACTTTACTTGCTCTGCATTGTCAATATTTTATAAAACATACAGTTAACCCGCCTTTCGCCAGCCAGCTATCTGCGCGACTTCCTTGTATCCCTGCATCCGCCACGTCAAGCTGTTCAACCTTACATATCTGCACTTAGGCGGTCGCCTCCTTTGTCTTAAGCTCTAAAGGAATTTTTAATTTTCTTTTGGTGAATTTTCTATTACCACAACATTTCGCTTTCCGCCGCTGCGCCGCCATTTTGAATGTATCTCCGCTCATTCTGGCCACTAACTTACTTTGCTCGCATATTTGGCTTTTGTTGCGCTGAAAGCTCGATGCGGATATAGTGGTTGCGAAGCTGCAACTGGCTCGCAATACTCATCCGACGCTTATTTACTTGTTCGCGTTGGTTTCATCTGCTTGTCCTACAATAATAAGTAACTAAGTAAGTTGCGCTTGTCATTCACGTTGTAGGATTTTCTCATTTTTATGGTCTGTTTGTGTCCGTTCACTTGACTGCATTTGTAATCTTTTCCTAACGATTTTCCTTTTTGGCATTTTTATAGCCGCTTCGACGCTTAAGTAATTGAAATGGCCAAATATGAATGGCAAAACTAGCTGACATTATCTGTGTGTGAGTATGGGCGGGGGATTTGCTTAAGTTGTGGTTAACGTTGTTGTTACGATGTTGCAAGCGGCTTTTAAAGTTATGTCTAAGTGCGAAGCGCGATCCGCGCATTTAACGGCATTTTCCTTGAACTACGAAATCTGTCATAAATTGAGCAAATTGTAAGTTTCTTTGAGCGGATTAATAAACCGTTGCAATGGTTAAAATTGCCGATAGAAGCGTTGTAGAACTGGCAGCTACTTGTATCATTTCGCGACTTCGCTTTCGGATTTTCTGTGTGTGTGCTGCTAACGCGACTTGACTATTTTAGTCGATACCTTGAAATTTGTGGACTTCAATTTTTTAAGAAGAGAGTTTATTGTTGGGCATTTCGATATCAAACGAGTGTTGGAGTAGAGTGACAAAAGTTTGAGCTTCATTAATGGTCAATATGAGTTCTATATTTATATTGTCGGCCACTTCACAAAATATTCAAAAGCTCGAAGGGCGCATTAAAAAATTATGTGTACTTTTTTTTAGCACACTTCTTCCGTCCGATTGCCTCCGTGTATTTACTCTTCTGTGATTTGTGTGTTACACCAGCGCCGGAAGCAGCACATTGTTAAAATGTTTACCGGAAGGAGAACGCATTGCCACAGTGGAATATAAACAGTAAGCGATGAGAAAGAAAAGCAAACGAAATGAGTAAAATATAACTCAAATTTAAATCTATTTCAATGAAACTTTATAAAAAGAAACCCGAATCTCACTGCATTAACTAGGAACATACTCGAAATTTAGACAGTCACATTTTCAGTTCGCACATAATTTACAAGGCGCAAGGGCCATAATATTTCTGACTCTGCTGTAATTAGTTGACTTTTCAGACTTAGAAATGTTCACATATATACATACATATATGAACCCTATACCTATTTACCAATTATGGGAAATGCGAACCTTTGGCAAAAGGTTTTAGGAGAATGCTATTGAGCTCATAATATAATCTGGCATCTTCTGAATCAGCCCTTCGTCAAACCTAGTTATGCAATGTAGCAGTAGATGTAATTGAACTCACTGACTATTTGCTCAGGGCTAATCATAGTCTTGGTTGTAGAGTGATAGACTTTTTTGTCTGCCTGGTCATAACGGAGAACGAGCATTCTTGCCTCAATATTCTCAGCGTTCTAGCGTAGTATCTGCGAACAATCAGGGCCTGCGAGATCCTTCTGAAATGCATTGCTCTGAGCAATACTCCTTACTACACTTAAATGAGGTTAAATTCTTGTCGGATGCGAATTGCCAAAGTTGTATGGAGGATAGTGGAAATATCCAGATATTTCCTCTTCCACTGTCCAACTTTTGCAAGAATGAGGTTAAAATATCTCGGTAGCCATACTGGCTTTGAACTAGGTGAATCGGATGGAGTTCTGGCGGGCTTAATGAGCTGTGTCGATCTATGACGGCCTTTTGCTCAAAAGCCAAGCGTCTTTGATCTACCCAAAAGGGATCTATTATGGCTCTTGTCGCTCATCTACCCTATTACCATAATGTAATATATGTACGCTGCGCAAAAAAGGGGTCTTGTTTGCTGAGTATTCAGCCGATTGGCACAGAATGTCCTCTTTCCAATGATAGAACCTTGAAAGAACTGAGCAATTTGGTTTGGAAAAATAAAACCTTCGGAGTTGTACTTAAGTGAGGCTCATTTGGGAGCATAATGAACCTTATAATGCCTTAAGTGTGTGCGTTCGACGTCCAGTCTACCAGTCGCTAACCAACCAATATTAATTCATCGTTATTGGCCAAATATTTTATAAATTTTGTACATCTTTCGTTCAGTAATTTATTACATAATAAAATCGTATTTTTTTCTATTATTTTTCTGTTTGGTATATATTTGAAACACTCTTATTTGTCATTGTAAGCTTCTAAAAACTTTAGAATCTAGCATTGTGTTAAATATACAAACTTTTGGTTTCATGAACAATCTTAAATGAGAGTCTTAACAGTGTTTTTATATATTTAATTATATAATATATACATTTTTTTTTTTGCTTTTGGAAAAGCTGTTTTCTTTAGCTCCCAGCAGTATACTTCTCATTTTTCTTTGCGTTTATGACTTCAAATATTCTTTGCATCAAATTATAGCTCACTGTCATACTCCATTTCGTGCCAGTTACTCCTGATGCAAATATTTGGCTTTCTTGTAAGTAATAATTCTTTTGTTTTGTTTAATTGTTTCGCAGTTGTTTAGCATCTCTTACAATTTTAATTTTAATTTACTTTGTCGTTACTTGAGCTATGAAGCTTTTGTTCACTGCGCCCATTGCAGTTGTTGTTGTGCTTGTTGTTCTCTCAATATTTGTTTTGTTTACTTCTGCGAATACTATATGTATGCAGATTTCTTAGAGAACTTACCGATGTACTGAAGCGGAAAGCACTGTTTTCTCTCATTGTTTCTTCTTTATGCCGGCGCATATTTTGTTAGCGAAATGCGAAAACTTTCTTCATTTTGTGTTGCATCAGAATTTTGTTTTTGTTTAACATACTTTCCAAACATTCTTTTACATTTTGCTGCTGCCCTTATGAGTCTAAAAGTAAAAGAGCTAAAAATACATTGAAAGTTTCACAATTATATTTTAATAAGTTTTATTTTCGAAGAGAGGAGTGGGCAAGTTTGACATATGACAGTTGAGGTTGCGAATGTGTATTTAGTCAACGAAAAGTTTGAACTTTAAGCACCCATCAACAATGGACACTTCTTACTACTTACTAACATAGATATCATATAGATAAAGGCATTGAGAATTCGAGTAGCATTTTGGTGCAGCAATTTCCTGGCCTTTGCTTTTACTCTATCTCTATCAAAAGGTAGAGAGAGATATAGAAAGAAAGAGAGATTGGTTCTCACATTTACTATTTCTTCTATTTGTTGTGCATGAAGTTAGCTGTGATTCTAAAGATTTTCTGTGTGATTCTACAATCGTTCAACTTTCTCACTTTTTAACTTTATTCAATTCGGAAATTATTTTATCCACACATGCATAACTAATATATGTATATGATACAGAAGATACGATAAACCCTTGTGACCCTTTGTCTGTAACGTCGTTTTAGATATTGTATCGGATTATTCTTCTACTTATCCTGACTGAACTGTGACATATCCCCCATAGGATTCAGATTTTATGATACAGACTTAAACTTAATCATCTAATATCCCCTTCTATGTATTCAACATTATTAAAAAGTTTGTTTCCTGGGGCTTCCGTTCGATGATTTTAGTGACGTTCGCTTACCTTTCCTTTTCACTACATATGATATAGATAACAACTACATCGACCCAGTTTAGTTTTTGTTGCCTTATATGAGATTCGTTATATATCCTTAACAAGATATATTAAATTTGTCACGATGTTTGTAACACCCACAATAAAACGTTGGAACCGCTATAAAATATGTATATACATATACATCAGAATGACGATGATTTAGCCATTTCTCTCTCTCTGTTCGTCTCTCTGTACGTCTGTCTGTCCGTCCGTTTGTCTGTATATACGCAAACTAGTCCCTGAGTTTTTGATATATCGAACTGAAATTTTTCATACCTTTCATCAAGAAGCTGCTCATTCGTCGGAACATCCGATATCGGAGAACTATAGCATATAGCTGCCATTAAAACTGAACATTCAAAATCATATCTTGTATGGAATCTTTTCTATTTGTGAAGAAGAAGGATGTAGAAGAAATCTGTAAATGTCACCAATATGATAAACAATAAATTTTTCTTCTTGATTTTGAGAAACTTTAGGAGGCTTACAAGAAAGTTCTTCAAGCAACTCAAGTGTAGATATAAAATCCAAAAAACAAGCAAAATCTGTTAATATTAGCATTACCAATAATATTTTAAACTACTTCACTAAACACAATAATGACTAATGTTTTCCAATTTTTTCTCTTTCTCTAGGCGAAAAACCGTATAAATGCTCCTGGGAGGGATGTGAATGGCGCTTCGCACGCAGTGACGAGTTGACGCGTCACTATCGCAAGCACACGGGCGCCAAACCTTTCAAATGCCGCAACTGCGATCGTTGCTTCTCGAGATCGGACCACTTGGCGTTACATATGAAGCGCCACATGTAAATAATATTTACAACAATGGAAGTGAAGCAACAACTGAGTAAACATGACGCATGAAAGTGAGCTAACTAAAAATGTATCATCAAAAAACAGCAAAAGTGCAAATGTATTGAGACTAGCTGAGAAGCAGTACATATGTATATAGCAGAGTAACTAGGTTAAAGGAAAAAAAGTATAAATCATAAAAAAAGCATACACACTAAAATTAGTCGTTGACAAGTATAAGCATTAAGAGAAAAACACAAGAGGAAAGAATAGATCCTTATATGATATAAATAAAAATAATGATATTGTGCCATCAACACGCAAAAAATGCAAAATTAAATAGCTTAGAAATTAAAAATTAGTTTTAAAAGAAAACGCACACATACAACACACTGAGAAATTCAACTAACTAAATTGCATTTGACTAAACGCGACGCGCAAGACACACAAATAAATTTGTTACGTAAATTATGAAGATTGTTCATTTTTGTATCTCACTGTTAAGTTTAGGCTAATTCTTGAACAAATAGTATTTCCCGTTGCTTGTGTGCATTAAGAAGAATCAAGTTCAGATTAGTAAGAAACCTTATGTTGGCAATACACAAAGCGAATATCAGGTGTGCGACGCCAATAATGCTGCTTTAATTCACGCATACAATTAAATTTAGTAACAACACAAACAAAAACAAAAATCAATTATTTAAGAGCTTAAACATAATTTTCGCCTTTTAGTCGTAATTGTATTTCGTTTTTAAATAAAATAATAAATTTTTATTTGAAAAAATATTTAAGTGCTTAAAAGCTCAATCGCGTAAAGCTCTATGAAAGCTTTCTTGTATTGAGCATACAGAACAAATGATGAATTTTACCAAAGTAAAGCAATTTTTTATTAGAACTATTATTGTATTTATCATTATTATTAAACATAATTATTGTAACTAAAATTTATCCTTACTTAGATTTATTGTCTTTGTTGCGCTTGGTTTATAAGTTGAAAGCGCGAAGCAGAACATATTTAACTATTAACTTGGTATTATAAATTAGTGTATTTAATTAAATAAAATGTACTTTCTTTTAGGTCTTTCGCCGGGTATTATTAAAAGCTAACTGTATATAGAAGCGTATCATAGCGAGTGCAGGGCACGATCTGTACTAGTATTGTTCACTGTTTATATTTAGGAAAATGTAAGAATGCTTTGCACGCTGCTTTAGTTAATAAGTGGGGGAAGGACTTAAAGAAAATGGCAAGAGAAATTAAAACTATTTGTATTCGATCGTTTGGCTGCGAAAAGACTTGAAAGTGTGTGCGAATTCCGAGATTGCACTCTTACACATTTTAAAACCTTTAAGCTCTTAAGCTCATTTGTTATTAAGGAAGAGTATTTCAAGTTCAATATTTTATAGAGACCACCATTTCCTTTTATATACATATTACGAAATATTCGTATCTGAAAAAACTTCGTAGAAAGTTCATAAAAGGATTAAAAATGTCAAAATAAACTAAAAAGCTTTCTACAATGAGTTATCAGATAAATCAATTTGCTAACTAACAGGAAAAAGATAATGCGCGCATGTAAATATACGAAAGCTCAATTTACAACGGCAAATATCATAAAAAAAGCTTTAATCCAGAGAAGCTTCCACATAGCGCAAGTGAAAGTTCTCTTAAATCATTCATGAATATATGAAGATGAAATAGTTTTTCCCCTACTATAAAATGAAGATTATTTTACGTTTGTACACACTCAAAGCTCTTCTCCGCCACATTCGAATATGATGTATTATCCCAAAGCGTAAGCTTAAGATATTTTGTATAATTTCCTGTGTGAGTAGCAAAATCACTGCCAAAAATTATAAAAACCTACATTTAACTGCATTCAAATAATTATATAAGCTTAGTATCGATGTTTGATGTTTGAATGATAAAAAAAAATTAAATAAAAAATATGCATTAAAAAGTTCAAATTGTAATAGGCTGAGATGCGGTAGATATAGAAAAGAAAGAAAAAAAAAAACACAAAACAAAAAGAGAAAAACACATTTGTATATTTACCTTTAGTTTACAGATATTTTCTTTCGTCTACTTATTTTAATGTTCTTGTAACTACAACAAAAAAAGTGCAAATATTGTTTAAAACAAAGAAAAGAAAATGTTATAAGTGAATGATCGAAAAATTCACAAAAACGTGAATATTGTTTCATATACGTAACTGTTTATTTTAGTTAGATTAAATTCGATTTAAAAAGAAATCTTCAAGAAATGGCCTTTTCGTATAAAATACCTTAAGTTTCGTAATGCTTACAACTCACTTTTAAGTCTAAAATAATAATTTGTTGCATAAAAATTTTAAATTTTGAAAAATTGAAAAAAAGAAACGCTGAAATCGTATGCTATTAAAACCTTTTCAAACAGTTAAGAAAACAAGCAAGTGTTCTGCGTAAAAGCTCTGAGGTAACACGAGACGCTTGTAAAAACAGTGTATGTTCTTATTTCAAGTTAAGTTCCTCTGGTGTTTATATCAGATATATTTACAAATGTTGCTAGTAGTATTTTTATACAACAAAAAATGTTGCCCAACATTTATAAATCACAATTTCTTACAGGCGTTACCTACTTTTGAGCGCAAATATTTCTATTATCACTATTTTCAAAAGCTCTGCGAACTTATGCTATTTATAAACTTTAGAAATGTTTTCTAAAGCTCTCGTGTTGCTTCACAATTCGTTTGCTTTAAAAATTATGGTCTGCAAAATTTACATTTTTTGTAGCACCAAGAACAATTTAAACTAATGTGGCATAATTATATTAAAATTAATAAAATGATCAGCGGTTTCCTTCATTTTTATCTACTCTACTTATATAAATAAAGAAAACACTGATATTATTTTCTGTTTTTTTTTTCAGAATTACCCAATGAATATCATGTGTGAAACAATGCAATAATTGTAAAATTTTATATCACATTATAGTATTTTGTAAATCGTAGTTTTTACATCATAAAGTTTTTTGCTTGTAATTATTAATTTCATTTAATTTTCTATAATAAATAAAAATTTCATTTTGAAACACAAATTGCGTTCTTTTTTAATTTTGTTTATTATTTCATATACTAGTATACATACATACGTATACACATATATACATACATAGCTGTAATAGAGAGATATCCTGATATATTTTCAAAAAGTTTAACTCTTCCCTTTGATCAGGTTTAAAGTTCATCCATCATGTAGGGAGAGCAACAACGCCGGCAGTTTCCACATTAACTGAACACCACAAAACATTAATATTTCACTATTCACTAAAATAATCAGAATTTTACATTGAATCATTTAAGTTATAAACAAACTTCAAGACAATAATATTAGGTCAAATTTTCCACTAGAAGCTTTCAGACTCAAAATTCACTCCCATATTTCACCATCAGTTGAATAACGTGACAATTTAAATAAATGTTGAAGAAATAAGTAGACCGAATGGAAACTCTCCAATTATTAAATTATTTATAACAAAAGTTAAGAAAAAGGACTTATTGTTATTTTTTTAATGTGCATATACTACAACAATTCTTTCCAAAATGTTTTAACTTAATCCATTGTTCAGAGAAATGACGATTCGGAGACAGCTAATATTGTGCTTATCTGATTCTTTTGAATACAATTTCGATTTTTTGCTGAAACCTTATATCTACGTATCTTCATTTGCACTTAAGGTAATTTTGTATTGCAAAAGATCATTGTTTAAACTAATTTTGGATATTTCGTTTTTTCAATAATTTAGTGAGGTGATTTCAATTCAGTAGTTAAAACAAGACCATTACTGTGTGCTTCACTGTTCATTTGAAATTATGATTGATACCAAATGATGTCTAATTTTGGGCGCGAAAAAACTGATGTTGCTCGAAATGGATGCACATGATATACTCCAAAATATGTATTTGACAACAGATTCCAAATATTATCGGAATATCCGATAAGAATTTTATAGGTTGAGGTTGTCTTGGTTTAAGTTCCCCTCTGTCGATCTTCAAGAGCAATTCAATTATCGCCGTGGCTGCGGGAGACAGTTTAAGCAGAGAACGTAAATTCATTAACATTCTCTGGTTTAAGCCTACTTCTTAGTTTTATGAATCCGTTTGGGTGAATTTTGAAAGAGCCACTAAAAAGACGCCTAGCGGAGTTAAAAAGCATTCCTGCTGTTCAATTGAAAAAGAAACTAGAAGTTATTCGTCAACTACCCAAATTGAAAGATGTGCTCCGCACGTGTTGCTGTTCCTCAATAAGAAACTACACTAACGACACATTCCCTAAATATCTTTTCATATTCTGTACGTCTCGAGTTGTTTAAATAAATTTTGATTTTTTAATGATAAATGCATTTCATACTCTAGGATATTTATTTATTAATAATTAATATTGTAGTTTTCATTCTACTGATCTAGTAGATCGACAAATGATATAGCAGATTGAAACAAATATTTCTTCTAAAAAATTTTCATTCTATATTTGAATAGATAGTTTTGATATGTTTCCTAATTTCTAACCCAGAGGCTTATACAACAACTATTGACATCTAAGAGTTTAACGTTCTTTTCTTATATCGAGTTTTGAGTTTGGCCACCGTCCGCAACGAAGAAGTTTCCATCAGTAGTCCTGTTTGTTCATTGTTCAAAATTTTCATTATTTAATTATCACGGCTCGCTCTACATGTGTCCGCCTTTTCTAGTAAATTTTTTTGGAATCCAAAAAACATTACGAGTTTATAACTGTGTTTATTTAAATAGTTGTATTATGTTTATAAAACATCAAATATTCATTAGATTATCGGAGTATGTATTTAATTTGAAAATATGAGAATTTGAAGATTTCTCTTTCGTTCATACGTCAACGAAATACATCATACTTATACCAATTATAGAGCAATTTCTTAACTAGTTATTTGAGTGATTGTTTTTAAAATTTGTACAGGTATGAACTCATAAGGTTTTTTTACCCAAATTCGACTATCGGGATTGCTTCCCCATCATCTCGTCCACATATTAGAAATAACCGTGTGCTTGTATGGGAGAAACACAGTTTGCTGAAGAGTTGGGCTTGCAGTGCATACTAGTCGTAAAGTAGTTCATTATTAGTTTAGCAGGGAAGCTACCCTTACCATTTAATGCCATTATATGTAATTAATTTTAATAAAAATTATTAATCCCACAATTCTAAACCTTATTTCGCATTGATTATTATGAAAGAATATATAGATTTTGCTAATTGTGTTTTTGGCTCGCTTTATAAGCTCCTTATTATGAGGATATTTGTGCTAATACTTTTACTCAACTAAATTACTTCTGAGAAAAAATATGCAAATCACTTTCGATTTTGGTTTGATTAATTTTTAAACCTCCCATTGGGTCTGTGCGGTAGTTATCATAAAATTTTGGATATTTCAAATCCTTTGAAATGAATCTTATTTGTATATACATACATACGTACAAATACTTGTAGGTATGTATGATACTCACTTGTTATGTATTCGTTTGCCGAATATTACTTTGCAATTGGTTTGATATATTATTTTATTTAATTTTTTAATGATATTTTTCCATATTTTTTCTTATATATATTTTATGTATTATTTCTACTCCATCCAATCATTTGCATTTCTACTGCATTTATTCGTCTCTTCGCCAAGTCATGAATGAAAACTGAGACAGAACGATATGTATAGATTGGTCAGGCATCCAATTATCGTTTGTGTGATGTAATATTCTGTGATCCAGTAAAACCAAAAAAAAAATATATATAAACAATTTTATTAAAGTAAACTAACAAATACAAGCAAACTATAAAATATGCTATTAATAAATCAGTTAAAAGTAGTTTAACCAAATAGTTGAGTAAATAATCCATATATTACAAATACATATATATCTATATATATATATATATATATATATAAAATGTATGTTTTGCATGAAAGTTATTGTAAAAAGCTTGCAAACATTTCAACTGATCGGATTAGTTGGAAAAATTGCTTAAGCCTGTACTGGAGTTGAATAAAACTTAGGGTGTGTGAAATATTATATAGAGCTTTCACACTACACTATAAAAATTAGCATTGGCAAAGCTTGTGAAACTTTCACATGCGATTAATTACAAATTTGTTAGAGAAATATTGCTTAGAAAAATACTGGGAATCTTCAATATTCCATAAATCCAATTATAATCTACTCGTCTGATTGTTTAGTAAAAGAATGCTGAGAGAGCTTGCTTAGATTGCACGCGCTTGCAATTAAAGTATTTAAGCTTAAAGCTTTTAGCTTATTTAGTGAAAATTGTAAACCATATAAACATGCATAATTGTATTGCATAATAAATAGCTTGACAGCAAATTTTAGAAGTTTGTGCTTATTTAGTCATATTTGTATGACTTAAGGTATTTTGGTATTTGTCTTAAATATTTGCTTAATTTTCAAATAAATTATGCATCATTGTAGTGCTTACACTTGTAATTAACTTGTTTGTATAAATAAATTTTGGAAATTTGCGTCAAAATGCTATTTATGCTTTATTCATGTGAACTGATTGTTATTTATATGTAATTAAGTAAAGTTTAACAAGTAACTGATTTATAAAGATACATATAAATGTACATATATATATATATATGTGGGATGTTTCGCTTTAGCAGATATCCAAGTAAATAGTAAGGATATTTCGGTATCGATATATGAAAACAAAATTTAAATATGTAAGGCATAGACCGGGAATAACTGTAACAGTGTGTACTTCCGTTGAAATATTTTGCTTCCAAATGTTCCAAAACAAAGCAACTAATCCGCTATTGCATACTTAAATAAAAAAAGTAAAATATTTGAGGTGTTTATATAACAGCAAGGATTAAGAAACTCTCATCCAAAAATTACGATTGGAATTCTCCCAATACTTTACAAAAATTATAAAGCACTTTAAGAACTGAAAAAAGTTAGAAAACTGTTGCTTAAGACTTTTTGAAATTCTTATAATTTTTTATATACGTGTATGTATATGCTGAGGCCTTTCATTTACATTACAAATTTATTTATTTTCTAAATCTTAATAATTTTAAACAGTTTGTTTTAAGTTATGTATTTATAAAATTATGTATTATATAATTTTTACAATTAAAAAATTATTAAATTTATCTAAATTTCTAGCAATGTGTTCCAAATCAAATATTATATTGTACAAACAGATTTTTCATCCCAATATTTAGAAAAAAAATTCAAAACTCAACTCAAACCAACCAAAATCAATAAAATGTGTCAAAAACTAATAAATATTAACAATCAACTGACATTTCTATCAATAAATTGCCCGTAAAACGTAAGAAAGATGTTTGTACTTCGAAAATATAAAATTATTTTAACACTTTAGATTTAGGACTTATCAACAAATTGCGCATTTCGACAACTAATAAAAAATTTAAGTATTAATTTCAGCAACTAAATAATACAAAAACGAGAGTATAATCTATTGTAACAAAAGCATCAATTTTTCCTACAAGCAAGCAACCAGCGATAACAAAAAGCTCAAGGCAAGCATACATACTGATATAAATATACACATATAATATGTGTGTATGTATGTTCTACAAGCAAATGCTTATATGTACATGAGGGAGCATATGTTAGTCGCTGTTTATATTTTGAACTAGACCTATGTAAGTACACTCAAATATAAACAACACAATTCAAAGACTGGTCAACGAGGTGTTCCGCATTAATGCAAAAACAAAACAAATAAAAGTAAATAATAAAAGCAAAACAAATAATTCCAAACAAGTGATAAATAAGCAGCAAAATTAAAAACATTTGTATCTAGCAGAGAAATCTTATAAGAGTGTAAATTTTCGGTGAAGACAGAATTTTAAGCAAAAATTAAAACAAATAATATATTTC